TTTTTTCAGAATTTTTTAATACCGTATTTTCTCATGTTGGTAAAAATAAGAAAATGCAGTACTGAAAAGTTAATAAAAAATTCTGAAAAAATTCTGAAAAAATTCTCATAAAAATTATTCAAGACCATTATTTTGCAATTTATTATTCTCATAATAATTATTATTCTCATAAAAAATTATTCAAGACCATTATTTTGCAATTTTGCAAAACACGCACGCACGCACGCACGCACACATAATTGAAGGTTAAGACTTTATGTTATTTATCTCTTTAATTTCGTTTCATCATGTACATTATTTCTTTATAGGAACAAGAAACGCCAACGTGGAGACTGGTGGTTTGTTCGCAGGGAGTTTCATTTTTCGGTACAGTGTTATCGGAGAGCGTCAGCGTATCTAGAAATAGATGGTATGAATTGGAATGAAGAAAATGAAGAATCAGGGCCGATTACCGATAGTCAACTGCAGGGACGATTGGATGATTGCATAAAATTGTATGATAATTTAGCGGCTGCATTAATTGAGATAGGATCTTACAACACAGCTTTAGAAAATATAGAGAGAGTTCTGAAGTATCAACCAAAAAATTCAGAAGCTCTATTTAAGAAAGGTAGTAAAAAATCTCATTTAAAGTTCTTGTTATTTTGTCTTTTTTAAATATATTAACTTTTTCATATTCTTAAATTATATTTTACCCAAGTATATATATCTTTTTACATATATCTGTATTGTTTATAGGAAGGATATTAAAAGCCAAAGGGAATTATGGAAAGGCTTATAGTACTTTCCTTGAAGTGGAAAAGATAGATCCAGATATGAAGTCGTTACTAACAGAATTAATGACTGTAAAAGAAATAATTTTTAAATTGAGACTTTATGTTTGGTCACCGTACGTATAAAGATGACATGACACCCGAGGAGCACCCGAGTGGGAATCCGAATGCAGCCCTGAGGATTTCTTACAGAGACGAACCATATCACTTTTACGATACGATTTTATCGATAGTGTCAGAAAATGTACATAGTCGTGTAGTTCCAAAACTGAAAATGGATGTATTGATGGTAGACGATTATAATGGTAACAGGAGAAAGGCTGACATGACCTCTCTCAGGTTTCTCTCTGGTTCATATCAGTTCATATATGTCATGTCCTAATAAGAATAAAAAAATTTTTTAGTAATTCTTTTGTCTTTAGTAGACGGTTCCTCTCATTGGTTATTATACGTTGGGTGTACAGGAATGGATTCAGGAATTTAGATTATTATCATTTTATCCTTGTTCACCGATTGTTAATTAAAGATAAATAATGATACTTGGGAGCATCCAGGTGAAGTTTTTGAACGCAGTTCAATAGGTCATTCAATGACTTGATCAGGGTATCAATCGTGAAACTTTTTTCCTAGGATGAAAAGTGAAAAGT